AACAACAACAACAACATGAGTCACATGTGACTCAACGGTATATATCAACAACATAGACTTATGAGATCATCTGGGGCTGCATCTGTAATTTGAAACAAGTCAATTGGTACCCCAAGGATTTCTTGGGCCCTATTTTTTTCTTCCATTGCCTTCAATGCAGCTTCCACTTCCTCCTTTATTATCATTGACTCTTGCTTACTTCCTAATATTTTTCAGTGTCAGTCAGTTCTTTTTTTGGTACAATTATTCTGTGTATTCTATCTTCTTTTGATGCTTTCTGGGTCATTCAATACATTGCCGATAGCATCTCAATGTTGAAACTCAGGGCTTGAATTTGCTTTTCAGTTCTCTCTGCTTGAGAAATATAGAGCAAGTTCTTCCCTTTTTACTCTCCAATTTCTGCTTTCTGCATATTCCATTTTAGTACTTTGTGTTGTCCTCTCCAGTTGCCCTTTGAAATAGTCAGCTCTTTTACTTCATCATGTTTGCCCTTTGTTTTGGCTTCTCAATGCTATAGTGCAATTTTTAGAGTCTCTTCTGACATCAATTTCAGTTTTTTCCTTTCTCCTCTGTCTGTGTAATAAATTTTTACTTTCTTCATGAACGATATCTTGGAGATCATGCCACAACTCATCTAGTCTTTGATAACTGATGTTCAATGCTTCAAATCTATTCATAAGGTGATTGTGATATTCAGATAGAATAGATTCAATATCATATTTTGGTTCTTGTGAACTTATTTCCATTTTCTTTGGATTCAATCTGAACTTGCACACGAGTAATTGATGGTCTGACCCACAGTCAGCTCCAGATAAAGTTGGACTACCAATATTAAAAATTATTGTAGCCATACTTCCACAAGGACATAATGTTTATAAATTGAAAGGTCAGACAAAGAGAAGAACATCTTCAACAAGATGGATTGTCACAGTGACTTTAACAATATGTTCCAGTATATCATAATGATGAGGATGGCACAGGATCAGACAAGGTTCATAGAGTTGGTATGTGTCATGGTCCACTTAATGGTACATAACAACAAAAACCTGTAGTTTGCAACTGAAGAAACAGCATCTAAGGCTCCTATCACAATCCCTAAAAAAGGCCTGATGTAGTAACTGAGGTGACAAACCTTCTTTCCCCAGAATAAAACAGTATTCACTGACAGTGATATCCCTAGCTCCATAGCCTCTTCTGAATCCAGCTTGGATTTCTGGAAATTCCTTATAGATGTACTGCTCTAGCCATTTTAAATTATTATTCAGGAAGATTTTGCCTGAATGTGATATTAATGACATTATTCAATAAGTTCTCATTCTTTTGGATCACTTTTTGGAGGGAGTTTTAATCCAATTTAGTCATCTTTTGCTGTTATGTAATGTCGTCAGAATTGACTCATAGCTTACCTTCTACTGGATTTTCAGAGATTATAAATAGTACATGAAGAGATTATCCATCTTTTTCTTTTGGAGCAGCTAGTCATCATTTAAGAGAAGTCATTTCCTCCTAACTGAGTGGATAGCAACAAATTATGGATAAGTTTGAGAAGGATGAGAACTGTATTCACTCGGCACCTATAAATAGGCAAAGAAAGGGTTACTGAAATAGAGCAAAGGGATTGTGAATGTAATTAAAATTAGAAAAGGTATACTTTAGGAGAGCTCTAGTAACGTAGTGGTAAGGAACTGCACTGCTGTCGCAAAGGCATGAGGTTCAAATCCATCAGCTGCTCCACAGGAGAATGTTGGGACATTTGTTGCCTCTGCAAACCTACTGAAAGGTCAGGTATAAGTCATTTCCTACTCAACAGTACACAAGAACTCGAAGAACATGCTTCGGAGTTTATCTTTCTACCATACTTTTGAACTCTCCACTGGAGAAAGAACGTCTACTTCTGTAAAGATTTATATTCTTGAGCTCTCCCTATGGGACTATTCTATTCTGTCCTTTAGGGTCACTATGTGTTAAAACCAACTAGATGGCAATGAGCAAATCTACAATAAACACCCAAGAATAAAACAACAACAAAAAATAATTTGGCAAATTTTACAGAGCAAATCTACTTCAAAAATTTCTTTAAAATGGCAAAGAGGATATCATCTAGGGACTAAGATATGCCTGATTCAGGCCATAATATTTTCTTTTTTTTTCTTTTAATGATTCTAGTGTTTATTTTAATTCTTGGGGAAATTAAAAAAGACAGCTTTTTATATGCAACCCACAGACTTGGCAGAGAAGGCACGGTGACAATTTTGCAGATTTACTTACCTTTTTCTCCCAGCCTATTCAATTATAGATAAATTTGCTGTAATCTTGATGGATGGGCATGCAGAAGTTTCTAGACCTCAACTCTGTCTGAGGCACATCTAAGATTCTTTCCTGCCAGGTACTCCTGAGGTGAGGGATAATTACATGCCTTCACAAACAGGACCTTTGTGCAGTAGAGTTGGATGGGTGAGTAAGGCTTTTATACATTGGGATACATGGGAGCTGAGGGAAGGTAGTGTAGGAAAAGATGAGCATCTAGCATCCTTGTAGATGTGAAGATACAAGCCATGTCCATTTTACCCTGCGGAGCAAAGCTTGGCTGTGTACCTGACCATAATATTTTCAATCACCCTACCTACACACAAAATCTGGATAGTTAATAAGAATTCATGCTTTTGAATTATGATATTGAATTTAGCAAGTAGTTCCAGAAAAGTCAATCTCTCTTGGAAAAAGTACTACCAGAGTACTCTGTGCAAAGTTGTCATAGAACCAGACAATGTTTCTTTCAGTTGTACACAAGATCACTATGAGTGACTCTTGAATTACTGAAATCTAAACACATCTCAACCAAAACCCTACTCATGGAGACCATTCCTGAAGTTTTTGAAGCTGTAAATCTTAGTGAGAGAAGATTGTCTCATCTTTCTCCCATAGAGTGGCTGGTGAGTTTCAACTACTGACCTTTTGTTTAACCTTTAATACAGCCTACTCAGCTACTAGAGGTCTTTCCTTATTCTCCTCAAATAACATTAAAGTCTTTTGAAGTTGAAATTCACTGTGCTGTTTATTTGGTCATAAGTACATTCAATTCACTGACTCATGATGTCAAGTCAGAAATGACTCATAGCTTTCCTTCCAGTGGTTTTCGGAGGCTGTAAATTGCATGGAAGGAGACTGTCCATTTTTCTCCTTTGGAGCTGCTGATAGATTTGAACCACCAGAGAAGTGCTGCCTTTGGATTAATAGCATACCCCATACGAACTATACAACCAGAGCTCCCAAATCCATTAATGGGCACTCTCCTCCCATATAATTTATAGCCTTTGAATACCCACTGATAGGTCAGTTATGAGTCAATTTTGACTTGACAATACATAACAACAACAATAACAAAATATACTGAAAGCTAGAAGCATTCCACTAACTCATAAGTTAGTGTAAGGTTTGTAATATGTAAAGAGCATTGGAGGTACAGTGGTTGATTGCTCAGCTGCAAATCTGTTCGAACTCAACAGAAAATTTTACAGAAGGAAAGGCCTGGTAGTTTTCTAAGAAACTAGCACTTCCGTCATGTTGTTACTGTATGCTATCGAGTCAGAACCAGCTCGTAGCTAAGCCAACTCATAGAGGCTGTAAATTGCATGGGAGAATGTTGCACTTCTTTCTCTCATGAAGAAGTTGGTCAATTTGAACTGTCTTTGGTTTGGCAGTGCAACTCCCTAGCACTAGGCTATGAATCAGAATCAGTAGACATAAAAAAACTACTATGAAAAGAGATAATTGATAAAAAAACAGTAGTATTATGACTATTTTCTTCTAAATCTAAGGTCACACTTGAACTGAGACAACATTTTACCAGAATTGTGATTTCCATTTTGTACAATTATCTTCTCCAGATTTGAGGTCATATACCTTTTGGAGACATACACAGTTTGGAGAAAGTACTTTAGCTTAACTCAATTTCTTGACTTAAACTCAATACTTAGGCTCTATTCACCACTTGGTATAGTAACAAAAAGACTTGTTTTATTCAGAAATCATTTCAAATACACACATTCTGATGTTCAAGTAGAAATTTCTCAAAGATTTTTAATAAAAATACATACTTTATAATAGTAAGACCAACAAAATAAAGTTACATATTACCATTTAAATTGGGTAGTTACACAATTGTCATAAATTGTTTAATTACACAATTGTCATTTTTATATTTCTAAGTATTTATTCTCTTTCCATGAATTAAAATGATTCTTACTGAAATACTTACTGATCACTGAAACTATTCAATTCTAGGTAAGAGGTAATTAGAGAAAAGAATTAGCTAGTCCAAGGAACCAAGTATCCTCAAACTCAGTTGTTGTTGTTATGTGCCGTCGAGTCACTTGCGACTCATAGCAACCCTATGTACAACAGCCCTAAACTCTGCTCTGTCCTGTGCCAATAGCACTGTCTTTGACACACCCATCCCGATTACCCCAGTCACTGAATCAATCCACCTCACAGGGAGCCTTCCCCTCTGTGCTGTTCATCCTACCAAGCATGATGTCCCTCTCCAAGAGTCAAATAGAAATTGACAATGAATGAAAAGACCATAGTCTAATGTTTTCAGAAGTCTTACTTTTATACAAATGTACATACGAACTCTAGATTTTCATATTCTTATTTTACAATACATTATTACTAGTTTCATGACATATATGCAATGCATATTCATCAACCAAGTGAACTGACAAATACTATTAAATTGTATCATTCCTAACAACCAAAGCCACTATTACTCTCCAGTCTTCTGGTGACGCGATTGTGTAAAACATCATATTCAAGTTGATCAGATCCTTGGAAGAAATAGTAGAAGTCTAAAAATAAACACAAAATTAAATTATCCCTCTGTATTTTTGTAAAAAGAGTAAATATGTTTTTACTTATAATCTAGCATAGATGAATTGACTTTTATAACAAATTTTGGTAGAACCTGAGTTCTACCTATGACATTTAACAGCTAAACATTTCTCTTTATTTGGGAGGAAAAGGCTGGCCATTAGGATGCAAAAATTCAGAGAAGTCATACTCAGGGTTCAAGATTCAGAGGAGGGAAGGAGGAGATGCAGAGCATAGGGCAAAGAGATAAGGCTAAAGGACACTGGGGACAAGAAGAGTCTTGGTGCAATCAACAGTTTTGTTCTGGTTTACCTTGCTTGGAGTCATTTAAACACAATCCCTTAAAAAAAAAAAACAACCAACAAAACACAATCCCTTCTCTTATCCCACTCATAGTTTCAGTTCATAAAGGTCCATAAAGGATGGAAAGGATTGAAAAGAGGACAAAGAAACAAGGCTTAAAGTTTAGAAAACACTATAGATAGATTCACTTTGTAGCAGGGTGTGGTTGTAGGGAAGTCCAGAGACTGCAGATTGCTGCTACAATAATCACAATTACATTTCCTACTCTACCTCATTAAAGGCCAGACCATCTTATGAATAAGCCAATGCCTCTACTGGCCACTTCCTCATTCCTCTAGCTCACCTACTCAGAAAGAAGCACATATCTTCATAGATTTTTAATCTACTTACTTTTAGAATAGAAGACTGCATCGATTTTAGGTCCAATTCCTGGGAAGTTTTTGACTATCCATTTGGGATAGCCATAGTCCATCTTCTGTCTCCTTTCATCATACCTAAGCAAAGAAATAACAAACACGAACTTGATGAGGAAATGCATTCTACACATGAAATTTCCAATTCCAAACTCATGTTCTCTACTGGAAGTGCACCAGTCAGAAACTAATGACCTAAAATGGTTCACTGACTAGAGTCTCAAAGTCTAGAACTTTCTGATTGCTGGTTAAGTCCTCCACTACCCTACAGTGCTTAACCAATCCTGTTTTACTTGGAAACTGATAAATGACTTTGCAATAGCTTCCTGTTATTGCCTTCTCAAAACTTCCCACTGAGATAAAAATAACCATAGAAGGTAATGTAAGTATAATCAAGAGTCTAAGGTCCAGGGAGTTAGAGTCTTAAACTTTGATGGTGGAGAGAAATCATTCTAATCCTTTATCATTTCAAGATTGTCATCAGCCTCCAGTTTCTTTCTTAAATCTTTTACTGGGAAGGAATTGTTTCTTTCCTAATTTCAAAGTGACAATTGAATCCAAAGTAGAGAATAAAGAACTATTGTTGTATACTGTCAATTCAGAGCTCCATGGGAGCAGATTGCCTGTCTTGTTACCATGGAAAAGGTAGTGGATTTGAACCACATGCCTTTCTCAAAAGAACCACTATGCTGAGAGTTCCCTGTCAAAGAACTAAATTAGCAAACTGCTCCAGTCCTATTTTCTTGATCTTTGCCTAGAAGGATAAAAAAAAATAAATGTTGTCTATGAAAAGGACTTTGAATAGAAAAACAACCTCCTGGAAAATTCCATTTTTCCCTGTCTCACAAATCAATAGAATTACTGATTTAGACTTACCTCCAGTACTGATTATCTACAAAGAAGTAAGTCTTAGCTGTGATTGGGTTAAAAACAGCTGCATCAATTTGTTTCACATACATAGGAAAGCCCAGAGTATGTATGCTCTTGGGATAGTTTGGCTCTGGTCTTAACTTCTTAATTAGCCAGTATTTATCATCTGTGAATAAAAAGGGAAAGGGTGCAATGGAATTACACAGAAAATTAACGATACTGATTTGATCCAGTTCAATGTCATATTCCCCCTATAATTCTAAAAAATTTTGCTCATTTTGTTCATGTTCTTAAGAGTTAGGTCTACTTTCAATCTACTGACAAACAAATCCTTGTTTGTGTCATTGCAATTACTTATGCTAGAGGCAAAAAAAAGGTGGGGGGGGACATTTTCATTAACACAGAAACTTGAAAACTGTATCAGTTCATTGTACTTCATTCTTTTAATGCACTGTAGACTAGAAAGTCTGGGAAAACTAATGGATTAAAATATAAATTAGTGGTAGTTGTTCTTAAAAATGGCCTATCAAGGTTGCACAATACTGTGAATGTAATTAATATACTAACTAGTTCATATGCTTAAAATTTAAAATGACATATTTTATGTCACAGGCATCTTTTCACAATAAAAACATTTTAAATGGCCTCATGTTTCGTTGTTTGTTTTCCACAGATATGACCTGCTAGAGGGTCAGGTGTGAGTTGGTTATGAAGTGATGGTACTCAACAACAAAAATCTGAATTATAACCTTTTAACTCCTCCAATATGGTTCTATGTGGTCTATGAGCTATCACATTAAACTGCAAACCCAGCGAAGCCGTAAGATTAATGTTGAGATGAGTAGAAAGAAGTATTGGAGCATGGGGAATATGTCAGACCTCATGGAATTGGTTTTGTGTCATTGATGTTTTGGACAAAGACAATTCCCCCTGTGAAGTTTGTTAAGGTCAAATATGGTGCAACCCATGTGGCCCTTGCTCTTTTTACACCTACATGTTTATAAGCTCTTTTGCTTTTAGCTCAGAGCTACCATTAATAACAGTGGAACTGGTTTTGTGGCTATGTCCCCATAAAGTTGTCATGTATCGTTGAGTAGATCTTTTTCTTCTTTAAAATACCCACATTGTAATTACCTTTAAAAATAAAAACTTCACTTCTGGTTCTAATTTCATAAGCAGCATGAATGACTGTTGGCAAGGTTGGCCACAAGGAAGAAATCAAATGGACAGAGCTCCGTGATGATTTACCAAATGTCCACCAAAAGAATCTAATATAGAGAACAATTAACACATGTTAAAAATCATTGTAGACACATGAAATGCTTGAATGGGAAGGACCTGTGAAATGACTTTAATATTTCTTTTCATCATCTTCACAATCTGTTGCATATAGGCCACTTTGAAATTTCTCAGGCTATAAGTACTACAAGTTAAATTCTTAGATGGTTCTTTCTATTTAGTTCTTAGTTCTATCTAAGAACTAGATAGAACTATAATAACTAGATAGGATTATCTTGTTCTAGATAACTAATCTGAACAGGTAATCTAGTATATATGGAAATATTCAGTACATGAGAACATCTGATATAGGGAAACATGCTGGAGTCTGGTGTTTAATATTCTCTACTTCCCCTACAAATACTTGCTTCTGTCTATGTTCCAATACAGAATTTTCTACAACAGAGAAATCAAGTCTACTTAATTTCTTAGGAAACGCTTAGCATCTCTTTTTAAGCACTGCCATTGTTAACTTCTCATATGCTGTCACCTTTATTCAACTCAGATGCCCATCTCAAATGCCTTCTTCATAAATCAGTTTTCTAGTTAAAATATAAATTTAACCATGCAGCATTATTACCCCTGCTTGCAAGTTCTACCTACTTCATTTCCCACTAGTCTTGAACAACACAAAGAGCCTATACTATTGTTTAGATTTGAAAACACTCTTACCTGTCTTTAAAGTATAAGGTTCTCTTGTCAATTGTAGTGACAGCATCAAAACTCAAGTTGGGATCACACACAATGGGGTCTGTGCTGTCCGGAGGTGGTGTGGGTTGTCTCATTTCTGGGCCTCCTGAAAATACATGTCAAGTAACATTTAAAAATAGTTGCATATTAGTTCATAACGGGGGAGGGGCAAAAAGATGACCCTTTTATTAAATTATGCAACAACACAAAAGCACATAAAATTTCTATAACATTTAAAAGACTACAGTAATTGCTGTTTAGTTTGGAGTCTTTTCCCCCCGTGTAGTTTCAATTTCATGGAGAAAAACTCTATCAAATCTCTTGTTTTCCTATTCCAATTAGATAGCCTGTGCATGTTCTCCAATAGGACAATGGCATGGCATACTGGATTGAAAGAACACCAGCAGATTTGAGACCAATTTCTACTTTGGGCTTTAATATTAACTATAAAGAAATTGATAAGGGAGCTCTGGTGGCCTAGTGGCAAGAAGCTGCACTGCAATCCTGAAGGCATACAGTTCAAATCCACCAGATGCGCCACTGGAAAAGGAGGGGAAATGTCCTCCTGTGCCAGTTGGATCTGACGTGACAGTACACAACAGGACAAGATTTAAATAAAAAAATAGATTAGTTGTCCTCATCTGCAAATGAGTGTAATGTCTATGCAACTTACCTTGGAAGGTTCTCACAAGACTCAAGAGAAGATAAGTATTAGAGTTTTGTGCGAATGATGGTATGTTGTCATTGTTGTATACCATCGAGTCGCTTGCGACTCTTAACAACCCTCTGTGCAACAGCCCTAAACTCTGCTCTATCCCTTGCCAATCTCATTGTCTCGAACACGCCTATCCCCATTACCCCAATGACAGAATCAATCCATATCATGGAGGGTTTTCCTCTCCTGCACTGTCCTTCCATCCTCCCAAGCATGATGTCCCTCTCCAAGGACTGATTCCTCCTTGCAACATGTCCAAAGTATGTTAGACAAAGCCTCAAAATCCTTGCCTCCAAGGAGTAGAGTGGCTTCACCCTCTCCAGGATGAAATTGTTGGTTCTCCTAGCAGTCCATGGTATATTCAATACTCTTCTCCAGCACCACAGCTCAAAGGCATCAACTCTCCTTCGATCATCCCTAGTCATTGTCCAGCTCTCTGAAGTATAGCAAGTAATGGCAAAGACCATGGCCTGTACCAGGCGCACCTTACTTTCCAGACTGATGTCATTGCTCCTCAATACCTTGGAGAGGTCTCTGACAGCAGACTTTCCTAATGCAGTTCATCTTTTAATTTCCTGGATGCTGGTACTTAGAGTGTTGAATATAGAGCAAAGTAAACTGAATGCTGATATAAGATCACAAATGAGAATATCTTCAAAACAAAATGGTTAAGAAATGTAACTCACCATAAAGGGATTGGATACCACGTATATCATCATCTGAGAGGTGAAATTTGTTGGTGTCAACATATTTGTAAGTGGGAAACATTATGGACCTTGGATCATTGGAATGAAAAAGACCCAAGGAATGACCAAACTCATGAACAGCAACAAGAAACAAATTTGTGCCTGAAAGTGAAACCAACAAAAAGGAGAGAAAATTAGTGAAACAGTCATTGTTAGACGCCGTCAAATAAAATTCATAGCAACCCTATGAGCAACAGATCTGCGCCCTGACCTATCCTGTGCCAACCTCACAATCTCTGAAACACTTGAGTCTATTGCACTCATTTTGGCACCTGGAAAATGATAGACTGAAAAGGAACTCATCTTACTTTTTTTAACTTACTGTCTCGAACAGGGGCACTAACCCTTACAACTATTTTTCTTTCTGGTTTTTTTTTTTACAGCTATTTTTCTCAGTGACTTTTCTGTACATTACAGGCTATTTTGAAACTGGAGGTTTCTATATTCCTAATAGGGAACTCTGGTGGCTTACTGGTAAGGAATTCCACTGCCAGCCCAAACATATATGCTTTGAATCCACCAGCTGCTCCACAGGAGAAAAATGTTCAAACTCTTCCCATGTGATTTACTGTCTTGGAAAATCCTCTGTAGGATCAATTATTAGTTTGTTCTGACTCAACAGTATACAACAACACTTAATGCCAATAGCAAACTCCCTTCCAATTTTAGCAATAATCTCTAGATATTTTCAAATATCCTCTAGGCTGTGCCTGTCTAGCACTTCAAATCCACCAGATTTCTCTGCAGGAGAAAGATGACCAGTCTCTTTATCTATGATTGACAGTTTCTGAAAACACTTTGAAGGGTGTCAACTATGAGTAGGTTCCAACCTGACGGCAATGAATGCGGCATTGCATGAAGCTGAGAAAAGAAAACAAAACCTTTTATGAATTTAGCTAAAACCTGCATTTATTCTGTTCTGATAATACGTTGAATAAACCACACCCCCTTTCCTTATCTTAAATATTGGGTTTCTATCTCATGTCCAGTTTTCTCATTTGATAGTATACTCAAGGGCCCCTTTCATTGCTAAACATACCCAACACCATAGTAAAAGCTCAGAAAACTTTCAATCATCCATTTACTAAGGGCTGTGGACAAAAAAAAAAACAATAGTCCTGAAAATGTTAGGGGTCATCGAGTCAAGTATGACTCATAGTGACGCTATGAAAAATAGACCTGACCTTGCCCTATCCTGTGCCATCCTCATCAATTCTACCATACATGAGCCCATTGCTGCAGTCACTGTGTCTATCTAACTCATCAAGGGTTTTCTTCTCTTTCACTGACCCTCCATCTTTCAAGCATGATGTACCCTCCCAAGGGTATATGAAGCTGTGCCATCTTTGTCTCCAAGAAGAATTCTGCCTGCACTGTTTTCTAGACATATCTCTTTGGTTGTGGGGTTTTTTTGTGTGTGTGATCCATGAGATAATCAGCACTCTTCTCCAACACCACAACTCAAAGGCATCATTTCTCTATCATCCTTGTTCATTGTCCAACTCTCAGATGTGTAGCAAGTGAAGGAGAAGACCATGGTCTGAATCAGACACACTTAGTTGTCAAACTGACATCATTGCTCTCAGTATCAGGAATGATTTCTGATAATACATTTGCCCAAACAATTGTGTCTCCTGATCTCCTGACTTCTAGTACCAAGGATGTTGACTTCTTGATCCAAGCAAGATGAAATCACTGGCAACTTCAATCCTTTCTCCATATATCATGTTGTCTATTGGCCTAGTGGTAAGGATTATTCTCTTCTTTGTGTCGAGATGTAATCTATACCAAAGACTGTAGTCTTTGTCCTTCTGCAGCAAACATTTCAAGTCCTCTCATTAAAGCCGGAAAGATTGAGTCATCTGCACAATGTATAAGTTGTTGATGAGTTTTTCTCTGAACTTGATGCCACATTTCTATTTATAGAGTTTAGCTTCAGAAATTATTTGCTCAGGGTACAGATTTAATAGGTATAGAGAAAGGATACAGCCCTGGCACACATACCTTTCCTGATTTTAAGCCATGCAACATTCCCTTGCTCTGTTTGGGCCACAGACTCTTGGTCTAGGTACAGATTTCATATGACTACAATTAAGTGTTCTGGGATTCTCATTTTTTTTTCAATACTAGCCATAGTTTTTTGTAATTCCCATAGTGAAATGTCTTTGCATATTCAATGAAACACAGACATACATTCTTCTACTAATCTTTGTTTTTAGCCAGGATCCATCTGACATTATCAAAGATATCCCTGGTGCCATGACCTCTTCTAAAGCCTTTTTGTTAATGTACAAGTTCAAATTGAATCTGAAGAAAATTGAAACAAAATATGATCTTGAGTCTATCCCTCTTGAATTTAAAAATTATCTCAGGAACAAGTTTGAGGCCCTGAATACTAGTAATCAAAGACTAGAGAGGCTGTGGGATGACCTCAAGGGTATCATCCATAAAGAGAACAAAAGATCATTTAAAAGACAGAGCAGGAAGGGGAAACCCAAAATTGATGTCAGAAGACACTGTAAAAATTGCATTAAAGCACCAAGAGGCCAAAACAAAGAGATGCCTAAGTAAAACAGCTGAACAGAAGACTTCAAAAGCAGCTCAAGAAAAGAAAGCAAAATATTATAATAACAAAATGTGCAAAAAGCTGGAGTCAGAAAATAAAAAGGGAAGAACTCGCTTGATATTTTCCAAGGTGTCAGAACAAATTCAAGACTGGAGTTGCAATACTGAAAGATGCTATGGACAAAATCTTGAATAATCCATTAAGCATTAAGAGAATATAGAAGAAACACACAGAGTCACTGTACAAAAATTATTTGGTCAATATAAATAAGAGAAGAGATTCAGGTTGCATTGAAAGCACTTGCAAAAAAATAAGGCTCCAGGAATTGTTGGGATATCAACTGACATGTTTTAGCTGACAGCCATAATCTTAGGCTGGCTTGCCAGTCTATGGGAAGAGATTCTATTCGTTTCCATTCTCAGGAAAGCTGATTCAACAGAATATGCAAATTATTTGGTCTTGAGAATAAGCATTTTAAATTAGAATTTAAAAAAAAATTAAAGCAAAGAATTGTATAATTTAAAGCATATTGTTCATATTGTATATGAACAAGTAAAAAGTATACATTAGACTAGAAGCATGTTCTGGCCCCAGTTTTATCACAAGGAAAAGGATCTCGTATCCATGTAACACATGTTATCTAAGTGTTTTTAAAATTACAAAACAGTCTGTGGAAGCTAACCAACACAATCCTCCTTTTCCATTAGATCAAACAATTGCAAATGACTTTGAATAGCATTTGTGGAGTTGGGTAAAATTCACTTTTACATGATTCTGTAGTCATTTGATGACGGTAAATTCCTCTTGTCATCAATAATTTTATAAGACAAAGATCATGTTTCAGATTAAATTAAGTCTTTCCAATTTATTTGTTGTTGATACTGCTGTGATAAATTGCTAAGTTCCCTCAAGTTGACTAGAACTCGTAGCAACGCTGTAAATGATTACAACAGAACCTTGTCCTATCTTGCACCATTCATTCCCTTGATCTCTAGCATGGTCATGTCCAAAAATAGAATCTATTGGTGCTGGTGTTATTGTGGACCATCTAGTCAAAACTGACCTATAGCTGACCTTCCAGGGGTTTTCAGAAGCAGTACATCACATGGGAGGAGATTGTCTATCTTCTGTAGAGAAATCCATTGGATTTTTGTATCTATAAAAATGTTCCCATTCAATATGCACAATATCAGCTGGAGAGAGGGAGATACTGAGTAAAACAATATCTTATGCCTTTCTTCCTATTTACTTTATGTGTAAATGGGAATCAGATAATCTAGAATTTCAAATAGAAAAATTAGGAAGATTGTTAAAACAGTTTGAATTTTCTTATAGATATTAATCTCCTTCGACCAATACCATCCCAATTGACTCTGTAATGATTTTGCCTGTGTCACTGTAAATCTAAGAAATTGCTAGCATAATGTGACTCACAAATGCAGCATAGTCTTTCTAGTTTATGGATTGCCCTGCAAATACTGATCTCATGAATCAACTGTTACTACTGGTCAAACTAGCACATTATCACAGACATACCTTGGAACTGATCTTAAACATAAGCTGAATCTATTCATTAAAATTAATTTAAAAAGCAAACATAAATTGAGTCTAAGATTCTCCATTTACAAAGAATAAGTTGTGGCAGACATGAGATGTTATTTTATTTGATACCAAAGTTAGAAAAATTTACTCAATCCTGTAACCTTTTTTCAGAAAATAACTTCTCAGAACCAGAAGACGATTTAGAATTTGTTTTCAAAAAAATAGTTTTGCCAACCTTTGGAGGTTTTAGTCCAGATTTCATCATTATCAAAATGTGCATCTCCTCCAATACCATCTGAAGGGAAAAAAGCATGAGCTATGACTCCACCTCGACCATCAAAAGGGTAGAAGTCTCCATGAGCTTAAAAAAAATAAAAGGAAGTAACAAGAAAGTTAATACTTTATATATGGTGCTATTAATCATGTCAAACAACACAGTGCCAACAAGTTCAAGTTCTCTACCTCTGCTTGCAAAATAGATCATAATGTCAGCTTCTCCTGAGTGAATCTTTCTGAATGTCAGGGGGGTCACATCACTCCATACTTGAAAAGCTTTCTGGATAGCATAGTTAACATCCTCATGTGACAATGAAAGAATGTAATTCTGGATTCTTCATCAGCAAGAGAGGAAAATGGAAACCATGTTAGTTTTCTATCCAGCAACATTGTATTTCTCCTAGCATTATAGATCTCTTGTCATCTTTTGGGTAGGGAATTGTACTGTCAACCCAAAGATAAAGGGGGAAAGGGCTTTTAATTCATCATCGGCTTCTTCTGAGAAAGATGGACAATCTTTGTGAAAACCTGTTGGAGGGTCAACTATGAGTTAGTTTCAACTTGGTGGCAAAAAGTTGAGTCACTAGTATTACTGAATGGTAAATTATTTTATAAATCCAGAGTTCACATAAGAAAATCTTGCTTTCTTAAATATTTTTTATAAATAACTTTCTAAGTTTTTTGTTTATAAATTTTGTAGTATATTTTTAATGGAGGTTTACAGAAAGATTGGGGTTTTTCACTCATTTATTGCTGCACACTTTCTCCTCAGTTTCTCCTCTCCAGTTCATTTTAATGCAACTCTTGTTCCAGGTTGTTATCAAACATGTAATGCCCAAGCATACATTGCTTTTATTTATTTCTTTTTCTTACTTACAAATTAAATGTTGCCCTTTTGTCTCTGCTCCTGAACTTCTGCTTTTATCCATTCTAAATATTCTGCTAAGTTTTCCTTTTATATTTAGCTTTTCTTTTCTGCTATAAACTGACAGGCCATGCAATCTTTCTTGAGTGAACATTAGTAAATGAACTCACTACTAACAAATTCTATTTCACCCAGCAGCATCTCAGAAGAAACACCTCACAGTCTACTTCCAAAATATTTGTAATTGAAAATTTTATGGAGTTTTATAGAGTTATTTTGGCTCCCCCTCCCCCAGTGCTATACTTTGGGAGGGATGTTTCTTATCTATTGTCAAACATAGAGCTCTGTCTAAGATAGTTGGGATTTTTAGAAGCCACACCTTTGAAAAAGTAGAAAATTCCATGACTCCATTTTTACCTGTAGGTGATATCATGTTTCTTCCACGCTTGGTTTCTTGATGTTGTTCTATAATGATGCACATCGGGTATACCACACCTCCGAGTGTGCATGACATCGAGAGTAGATGGGTCCAATTTTCCGGTCACTTTTAGCCCCATGAATTGCTGCATTTCTTGGATTTTACTCTCCAGAACATTCTCAATGACATTCATTTTTGTCTTTGGAGTGTTCTCTACATAGAAGTCATAAAATCTTTCCAGGTATTGCTGGAAAACAAATACAGTTTGAGAAGGATGAGCAATCTCCCCTCATGCCTATCACTGCCTCAGAAAACCTGCTACAGGGTCAATTATAATTTGGTTCTGACTCAAAGGCACTCAACAACAACAACAAGCATACATTAATTTGTAGGTAGCCTTATCTACAGAAGGTCAACTTTTTTCCAATATGACTCAGATAACTGGTGTTTTGATTAGGCACTCTCAATTGAAAAAGCCAATGTGCTTGTGCCATAATGGCAGCCAGGCACCTTAATTAGTTAAACCAGGGTTTCTAATTAACTAAGCCATTGTTCAAACCTACAATTAACTTGCATTCCTTTCTTGAACATACAATTGAATATTAAAAACCCTCTCCTATGTTAGTTTTCAACTAATATTTTCAAAGTAAAAGAGTCCAGTGCACTAATTTTAAAAACACAATGTTAGTACTTACTTCTGCAAACAACAACTCATTTTCTTCCAAGCTTTTGTTGAAGAGAGGAAAAGATCCAGAAACAGTGGCTTGCAAGAGCAGAATCAATAGGACAAACTCCATTGTAAACTTTTCCTGAATGACTTAACTTGGTTTGCTTGTGTGCCAGTTCCTTAAATGCTTCTCTATTTATAACCCAGAGTAAGCACTGTGAATCCTTGAATGACTCATAGTTGCTATAATCTTTTGTTCTATTTAAAAAAAAAGTAGAAACAAGAAATGTTTTCTCTCTATCATCAACTCAGGTAAATTAGTATCTAATTTATTGTTTATTGTTTAGTATCTAATCTATCATTGATTGATCAGCTAGTTCTGGTGGCTTCTCTTTTAGTGTGGTGCCATCCAAGTCAAGTATGACTCATACTCACCAGACAGCTATTTGCTCTGCTCACCTGTGTATGGTTTTGCAGAAATAATTTTAAAGCTGGTAATATTAAAGCCATATTACAAGTCTTAAGGACAATCGAGATTCTTAAGTTTCCTGAAAATTACTACATCTGAAGGGGGAGGAGAATATAAACACTCATAACAACCCTATAGACAACAGATCTGAACCCTGTCCTACCTTGTGCCATTCTCACACTCTCTGGCATATTTGAGCTCATTGCTTCAGTCACTATGTCAATCCATTTGGTTAAGGGTCTTCTTTTTCACCAACTCTCCACCTTTCCAAGCATCATGTCCCTCATCTTCAAGGAATAATTTCTCTTAGCAATATGTTCTGAGTATCTGAGAAGAAGCTTTATCATCTTAGCCTCCAAGGAGCACTCTGGTTGCACTTTCTCCAAGACATATTTGTTTGTTCTTTTGGCAGTTCATGAGATATTCAGTACTCTTCTCCAACACCACAGCTCAAAGGCATCAATTCTTCTTCTGTTATCCTTAGTCATTGTCCTGCTCTGAGATATACGGCTTAGTGGTAAAGAATTGAACTAACAGTGCAAAAGTTTGCTATTTGAATCCACCAGCTGCTCTGCAAAAGAATGGGCAATCTCTTCCCATGTGATTTATTGTCTAAAAAAAACCCTCTGGAGGGTCTGCTATGGGTTGGTTCTTACTCTATGAATATCTACTATCTTCAGTAGTGAACTCTTTAAGAACCTTGGAGACAAGGATATTGAATTCCATTTCATATATTTTGAGCATGTTCTCAGGAGGAGTTAGGAGAAGCCAAGCAAGATGTCAGGTGTTCCTCAGAGAAGGACATCATGGTTGACAGGGTGGAGGGTAAGTACAGGAGAGGAAGACCCTGGATGAGAAGGATTGACACAGGGACTGTGGCAATGATGTCAGGTGTCAGAGACAGTGAGGTTGATTAAGGATAGGCAAAGATCAGAGCTATTGTTCGTAGGGTCCACGTTAGTCGTAATTGACTCAATGGCACTTAACAACAACAACATGCTTCCTGTGCATGTGAAAGTTAAACAGTAAACAAGGAAAACCAAAGAAGAATTGACTCCTTTGAATTGTGAAACTGGCAGAGAATTTTTAAATATATTATGGATTGCATTTAAAAAGAGCAAACAAGTCTGTCTTGAAGGAAGTTCAGCCTGGGTGCCTGTTAGAGATAAGGAAAATATCATCAAAATGATAAATGAATTAAGCCTCTACCCTTTGCCAACTAAAATGCACAAGATTCAAATCCACCAGTTGCTCTGAGGGAGAAAAATGGACAGTCCTCTCCTATGCAATTTACTACCTCTGGGAAAAAGTACTGGAGAGGCCTCTATGGGTCGGTTCCTACTCAATAGTACATAACACCAGCAAAATGGAGGGGCAGAGGGAGGTCATCCTAAGAAAAATACCAGTTTCTGTATGGTGCAAATGGTTGATTAGCCCTGCTGTTATGCAAAAGGTAAGAGTTTTGAGGCTACTCTAAGCTGTGAACAATCCATCAGAACACTGACCTATCCCATGCTGTCCTCACAATCTGCGACACACTCGAGCCCATTGCTGCAGACACTATGTCGATTCACCTAGTTAAGGACCTTTCTCTCTTTCACTTCCCTTCCACCTTTCCAAGCATCATGTCACTTTCCAAGGAATAACCTCTTCTAGCAACTTATCCAAGGTATGGGAAATGATGCTTCATCATATTTGCTTCCATAGAGCACTCTGGGTGCACCCTCCCTCTCCAAGACATATCTATCTGTTTGTTACTTTGGTAGCCCATGAGATCTTCAGCACTCTTGTGGAGGATTAGCTATGGGGTGGTTCAGGCTCAACAGTACACCACCACCACCACAACAACCACCACCAAATTGGAGGTGGAAGAAGATCACAATAAGAAAAATATCCGTCTCTATATGCTGACAACACTAAGGTGCTTATGAATATATTTTAAGTTTTGTTTTTGTTAGGTGCCATTGAGTCAGCTACATCTCATAGTGACCCTATGTACAACAGCCGTAAAGCCTGTTATTGTCTCTGACACACCCACCTCCATTAACTGAATTAAACCATCTCATTGGTGGTCTTCCAAGCACGACGTCCCTCACAAGCACTGGCCCCACCTTGCAACATGTCCAAACTATGTCAGACAAAGTTCCAGAATCCTTGCCTCCAAGGAGAGGCCTGGCTTAACCTTCTCTAGGATAAACCTGTTTTTTCTTTTAGCAGTCCATTATATATTCACTACTCTACTCCAGCATCACACAGCTCAAAACATCAATTCTCCTTCTATCATCCCTAGTCATTGTTCAGCTTTCTGATGCTGAGTAAGTAATTGAAAAGACTATGAACTGGGAGAAATGATTAAAATTCTACAAGTGTTCAGACCTTTCATTCACAGAGTTGCTATGAGTTGGACAATGACGACGCACCTTAAGAACACCAACAATAACATGGCTTGGATCAGGTGCACCTTAGTCTCCAGATGAAGCCAAACTTTAAAGGAACACATTGCTCTGTCAGAGCAGAGTTTGTCTGTGCTGTTCACCATTGTATTCCTGGTGTCTACAATGGCCTTGGAGTCTGAAGATGGTACAAAGAATTAATTTGATCAACATGAAGCTCCTAAACAAATGGTTCAAGGTTAAGTCTACTCAGAAATGCTTTGGAAGAAAGAGCTGGCAATCTACTTTTGAAAACTGAGCCGCTAGAAATCCTTTGGAGCATACCTAGGTTCACCCAGAGCAGGAATTAACTCAATGGTAACAGAAAGTGGTACTGATATGGTATGATATAGTTACTTTGATGTTAAAAAGTGCTCAAAAAACACACTTGTGGATAATTGTCATTGGAGAGTAGGGGCCAAAGGACATCAGTAGTAAAGTTCCTGTTTGAAGCATCACATGTAGCATATATGTCACTGAAAGCAAACAAGGAAATGAGAAGGAATCAGATTCTTGGAAACTTGGAGGAAGTATCTTGAAATTAGAGAATGTAAGATACAAGGGAAACTATACCAAAGGAAATGAAAGAATGGCTCATTGAAAATTTCTAAAAATAGAAAACTCTACCTACCCTTTAATGCACCCTCTGTGTGGCTCACCAAGTGCCCCAGATAGGTCCAATGTGAAATGTTAAGGACCATTTGAGCAGCCATAGGATTGTTCAGTCTCTGCAAACGTGGGCTCTAAGGTCTGCCTCCTGACATCCTTCAAATTTCAGTGCCATTTTACGTATGACTTCAGGCAATCACTTTAAAACTTTTTTTCTCTTCACCAGGTGATTCACACAGCTGAATATGTTCAGATTTATTCTGGAATGAGAAAGACAAGTGTTCAAAGACAAAAAAAAAAGAGAGAGACTTTATTTCTTGTCGTGTAAAAGTGTTATAATATTTCCTATCCAAGGTTGTTGTGTACCATAAAGTCAGAATTGACCCATAGCTGACCTTCGGCAGGTTTTCAGAGCAGTTAATAGCTCAAAAGGAGATTGCCCATCCTTCTCCATTGCATTGAGCAGCTGGTGGCCTTGAAAGTGTGCTTTTGGGATTGCAGTGCAGCTTCTTGCCACTAGGCCAGAACCAGAGTTCTCTAGGTGATTATTATAAGGAATTACATTAAACAATAAATTATTATAGGGATTACATTCAATAATATATCAAATCAAATGCCAGCAAGTTGATTTTGACTCATAGTGATTCTTTATCAGGTTTTCAAGTTGTAAGCCTTTACCCCAAGAGTCAGGTTCTCTTCTTTCTCCTACAGAGTGGCTGGTGTATATTTGAAAGACCAACCTTTGGTTTAACTACATAAGGCACTACATACACCATAAGGATCCTTTAAATAACAGGGAAAAGTAATGTCCTGCTTGAAAATGTCAAAGACAGCTATCTTGCTTTCTTCTCCTTTGCTACCTTTCTTATGTAAGATATGCAGAAGAGGTATAGAAACAAAGAAGGAGATGAATTCTAAATATCTTGAGCCATACACCAGGATATTGCAGGCAATACTTCTAATATAATCACCTGCAGTCAATAGCTGTGCCATTTCCAAGGATTCAGATGCAACTTGTAACCTGATTCTCCTCAAAGATGATAAAAATAAAAGTGACCCCAGAATAACACAGAAATACTTTTAGCTGACTCTTTCAGAAAATAGTTTATTCACACTGAAAGAAAACAGGAACCAGTTAACTCTCTCCTTTTATGGGAAATAAATTGCTTAAGGTGCCGTCTAAAAAGTCTCCTGACTTTGTCCTGACTTGTTGCTACAACACATTTCTTTTGTCACATGCCAGTAGTCTCTTAGAACTGCAAACACTACAAAAACAGTACTGTGGCAAATATATATGCAACCAATAATTTTCCATTTCAATGTCCTCATCTATATCACTTAGTAACATTAGTTAGTTATATTTATCAGATTGTACAACGATTATCTTTAGCTATTTGCAAATAGTATATCTGTGATCCAACAGACTGGGGAGGAGGTGACGTTGATAGTGTAAAGCATAGATAGCTTTCCTAACGTTTTTATTAATTCAACCCCACTTACAGTAGCCACTGCTTTAGACAAGGCCGGATCAATTCTTTGTTGTTGCTTCTAATAGCATTCAAGTCAACCGGACTCATGGTGACCTTGTATATATGAAAAATCAAAACTATTGCCCAGTCC